TGAACCTTTGAACAATAAATATCAGTTTATCAAATTTTTATAAAATAAAACAGATTATAAACTTCATTTTAAACATTATTTAAATATATTTTTCTTACAATACATTTCGAAATATGTATAATATTCAATATAATTCCACATTACATTGGAGGCCGCTTAATTGCACCGTTATATCGTTATAGAATATTTTAAGCATTTACATTTATGCTATTTTCTTTTTATACATCTTCATGAGATAAGATATTAAACACCGTACTGCGAGTGCAAGTGTGCGTGATACATCTTGTTGAGAATTGATGGATTAAAACTAAATGTCACATGAGACGTCAGTCTCATGATGAGAAATTTTAAATTATTGACGATGTATTTGCTAATGCATGTGTAATATTTGCGGAGTTAAAATGTAGAGCCAGAAAAATAAAACAATTATTAGATTTAATAATTGTTAATTGCGATTACATAATTAATCATTTATTAGTTTTGTAAAAATACTTAATTAATAGTGAGTAGTTGGGAATTAATAAAATAATAAAATAAATAAATATAAATATAAATGAAGTACTAAAATAAAAAATAAGAGATGCATTAAAAGTAAAATTGTTCTTTCTTTCTAGTTAATAAATTGCAGCTAAGTAAATAGCTAGTTAAATAATAATAAATTAAAATGTGAATACAAATGTTATGTGACATGTGTTCTGCTTCTCGCAAAAATATGTATAGTTAAGCATCGGTTAATACGTTTGGATTATAATTATAGATATTATCATACGACTGGAACGGACTGGAGCTGTGCACATGAAGGGTAACATCTGTTGATTGCTAGGTCTAGCGCCTTTAACCCTTGGTTACTTGACCTTGCATTAACCGTGTGCTCGGTGTAATCAGCCATTAACCTATCTACCGTATTAGATTAGACTGCATCCGTGTAGATTGTATCTAAATAGATATCACGCGGCTCATTCCCACCCTTCTAGAAACAGCTTGAGAAATGTGTACAGGTTTTTCGCACACGAAAAATTGGACATTTGAAATATTTTTTTCTCATTTTATCGACGAAAGAAAAAATATTTCTATAGTATAATAACTATAATAAAAGTATATAATATTATATTAAATTGAAATTATATTAAAATTACATTGAAAGAGAGTACATTATAAAATTAAAAACTATATTAAACTAAAAACTACGTTAAATTAAAACTACAGTAAAAGAGAATAATATCACGGAATACTTAAAATAATAATTGAAAACAAAATAAAAAAAGTACTGCATTAACAACTACGTTTTATATGTCGCGTAGATGTCCCGATACTATTAACATCTGATTGTGAGCAAATTAAAATTTCTGTTGTATTGAGTAATGTGCAGTATTGCATTTCTCATTCTCGCAAAACGCTTTAAATGACTAATTCTCAAAGTTAATCAATTATTAATCATTGTGATGCAAACATCATGATAAAATCTAGCTAATATATAATTAATTCTAAATGTAACAGACACTCTGTAATTTCATAATGAAATATCTTATTAAACAATCATAAATGTGTCCGTCGATTGGTATACATATGGGAATGCAGTGATAAGTTTCTGCTTCACTCTGCCCGACCTGACCTTTCATTTCCCCGAAGGGAATCATCGACGTTGCCCGGCCGCGAAGTCATCGAAACCGACTTGACCGCGTACAGTGACGCGTTTCCGGCGGAAAAGCATGGATTATTTATCTAGAACAAGTGCCAAGCGACACTTTATGCTCGATGTTGACCTGGTTGTTTGACTGGTCGGTCGCCTAGCTGGTGCACGTGTTGCTCATGCGGAGCAGTCAGGGAGCGGGTCGATATTAGTCGTTGTAGCCTGCGAACACGCCGGTTCCTGGTGGCGATGATGACCACGTCGGCCAGGCCACGTCTACGAGTAGACTCGAAGAGGAAAAAAGAAGAGGAAACGAACGGCGCAACGTTCCGGAAATTGTCTCGACACGAATTCCGAATTTGGCTGCACAGAATCGACACCAGATCCGGAAGTTATCACAGATGGCGATTAAACAAGGACGTAGACCGGCGGATAGAGTGCAAACGAGAGATCATGAGAGAGAAAAATAAAAAGAAGCATACGGAAAAGTATGCGGAAAATGCTTTTCCGCTAGGCGCGTTATTTGCGTTTATCGTTTTAATTATTCAGCTGACAAAGTCAATCGAGGACAAATTTGCGATCCTGTTAACGTAGATATGTTCAGGATATCCCAGTAAACCGGGCTTTAAGAAATATTATATATATATATATATGTATATATATATATATATATATATATATATATTAATACAATTTAAATAAGGATACTGCCCCTAATCTAATAATTTGGTTATACGGTTAATTCCCGATCCCGTACTGATTAATAACATTTGAGCTCTCTAATTCTAAACTACATTCGGATTGCTAATTTGACCGCAGTTTATGCTAAATAGTAAATACACGCAGGTACCGACGACGCATATGTTTGTGATCGCCACGAGTGTACGTGTTGCATTCGAGCGATGCATACAAATTTGTAATGCCAAGCGACGCAGCGCGCAGATTGATAA